TTCACAAATAATGTAGTAACTCCTGTTTAGAAGCTGTTATTTGAAAGATTCTTTTTTCTGGTACTTTTTGGCATCTAGTGGCATCAAACAAAGTAAATTGCAGAGAGCTGGGCCTAATAGAACCTGAATTACAGATTTTCAAAAAAATAATTAGTTTTAAATCTCCAAAAGCGCCTATGTTTTTTTTGTGTTTATAGTAATATTTGAAAAGTATATAATGTTATTTATAAAGAATTACACTCATATTTTGTAGTTCAAAGGGTTTTCTTTACAATGAAAACCATTTTTTTTCATTTCCTCCATTGTATGTGTGCAGGGTAAACATTTGAATTTGAGTATGTTCAATTTAGGCGAAAATACCAAAAAACACCCTGAGCTTAATTAATTCACCATTTGTAAACTGATGTTTACTGTTAATTTTTTAGAAATATCAATAGCATTTGTATTAAAACTATATTCACTGAATGTAATAAAAAAACTCGAGAATCGAATCAAAAGGCGATCGAATCGGGACATCTGAATCGATACCCAGCCCTACTGAGGACGCTGTGGATTGCTTTCATTTTTCATCGTAATGCACTTCAAAATCTACCTAAATACGTTTATCACTCCAGACTGCTTTATGAATGTCATGTCATTATAGTGCTTAGCGTTTTAACCGTGTTTGTGTGCGTGTGTTATCTAAGTATTTTAATTGATAAGTGCTGCGCTTGTGAGATTGGTTTGCGCCGCGCTGTTCGTGCGTGCGTTATCGAAGTATTTTAATTGATAAGCACTGCGCTTGTGAGATTGGTTTGCGCTGTTCGTTCGGTAGCGTGGTCGCGCGTCTCGGTCCATTGATCCGCAACGATGACAGGTCAGCGCGGCGCGAACTCTGTAACATCGCGCTGTTTCGTCCCACTTTCAGTGCATTTGGCTTCCTATATGTACGGCTGAACACCGGTTCTCTTGCTCTGCCATGTTGCTTCTACCGGCTCTTTATTGCTGTAGATATGCAATGCAGAGAGACATATACGCTACACCCTCTTCTGGAGATGGGGCGGGAATATGCAGCTCATTTGCATTTAAAGTGATATACTCCAAAACAGGTATTTTTTAGACACACCCCAAAAACGTCATTTTCTAGCTGTTATAATAAATGATCTGTGGGGTATTTTGAGCTGAAACTTCACAGACGCATTCTGGGGACACTCAAGACCAATATTACATCTTGTAAAAAGGGGCATAATAGGTAGTGTTGGGCGATATGCTCAATTTTCATATCGTCCTATCGTCAGCCTGTGAGATCGCCGATACATGATATTATCGTGCTAATTTATGTAATTATTTACTTAGTTTCATTGCAAGAAAGTGAACCAACTCCAGCGTAAGGCTAAAAGCAGCCTAATGTTTTTAATATGACTGAATTTGTATTTAACATAAATTAATAGAAACATCGTAAGTTACTAATTATAATGCTTACATTTCCTCAGTTATTCAAAAAGCAGCTACAGAAAACGAGCAAAGAACATTACATTACGAAAGAACATCATCACAAGCTCAGTCTAGCGCGAGTTTATGCACTTTAAAAACACTCCCGTTAAACTCAGTGAATCTACACTATATGATCAATAAATCTCTTATATTCAGTCGCGCGCTGAACAACAGAACTCCGCTGTTTCAGTGATGACTCATCTGAATGCCTCTGATTGGCCATTGCATTCATAAGCTCAGCATAATCGTGTGTGATTGGTTAGAACGAGCCAATACTGTAAAAACGCGGAAAAAGAAATATAATGCAACAAATAAGCCCTAATATTAATTAGATAGTATTACTAGCCTGATGATAATAATAATAATAATAATAATAATAATAATATAATAATAATAATAATAATAATAATCGTCTTGCTATCGTCAAAGGCATCAACCACAGGCAATATCTGTCTATCGTCAATACACAATACTAATGTCTATCCGCACAACCCTAATAATAGGTGCCCTTTAAGTCATCCATGATTGAGGATTTTCTGAAAATTGTGGGACCAAACCATGATATACCATCCCACCAGTCCTAAAATTATCGCACATCTTTCAGTGACTAAGGCACTATAAACTGACTCACTGCTGCTATCTTAGCAGGATCTGTCTTAATGCCTTCCTCTGATATCACATGGCCCAGAAAAGTGAGAGACCTTTGCAGTTATAAAGGACACCAATTATACAAAATTCACTTTTACATATTGTTTGAACATAAATGTGTGTTGGCAGTGTGTGTACACAACCACCCGATAATGATTAAAAATCCACCTGCTCTTTTTTTCAATCCCATTGACAGACATTGCCTTATTAGAAGGGACCCACCCTGAGTGAGCCGCACACAATCTGCCATGTTTATCTTCACGCTAGAGCATTTAAAAGCAGCATTCAAGTAAGAAATGTCTTCTTATTAAACAGGGCTCGACAATAAGGAGTGCCCTATGGCCCGGGCCAGCATGAAAGACACTCTTGATGGATTTGTTACTTGCCCGATCGAGCCACTGCTGCATCGTCACGAAAGTTTATCATTTTCATGTGTTTTTAAGCCTTGTTCATTTAAAAATTCAAGCAATTAAAAAGCATTCGGGCGCGAAAGACAACTCCATTCAGTACTCGCACACTGTGTTCTGTTCTGTTCTGTTTGAACAGCCGCGTCTCTGACATTAGTCTGAAAAAATTAGTCTTATAATTAGTCTGTAAATGGCCATTAACAGAGACCAGAGACACTGAAGACGGACGCAAAGAGGAGAAAATACTGTAGCAGGCAGAACAAGATCACTGTTCACAATGCGCGAAATATAGGAAGAAAATACTAAATATTAAATTTATATGAATGCGTTTCTGAGGGGAACTGGCTGTTTTCAGAAAAGTTCACAAGGCGTTGTCTTTTCATCTTGCCTCCGTATAATCCATTTAAAATAGTGTTAATTCGTGCAGCGCTGCTGTGGTTACAGTGGTTACCAAGGAAATGCTATATTACTGTTGTTCCATAAGCGCCACCTGATTAACCGCTCGTGATTAACCGCTCACATGTGAAGCGCTCAAATCGCTAGCCGCCATTCACACGGAATGCACTTTTGTGTTGACAAAGATGCGACACGGGCAGTGGAATAGGAAAAACATGCAAGAAGATGGGAGTGAACTTCTTTTAACTTGAGCGCCGCGTTTTTATAATGCCATTTCATGCACAAGACGCTACAAGAGACGCGAGTGCAACAGTCAAACACGTCCATGTTTTTATAGAAAAAACTATGGAAAAGCATCGCAATCTAATAAAAAACCTTTAACTCCTACTGTATGTCTGATATTTCATGTTTGCATCATATTGACAGGATAAAAGTTGCTGTTGTTTTTACAGAACATTTATAGTTGATAATAGTCTACTGGTGTTATACCTTCAGTCATTTTGAAGTTGAATTAGGCCTACTAACTTGATTTTTTAGATTTTTTTAAAGCATTTTCCTCATATTATTTCTGAACATATAATATGTACAAGACAAGTTTGTACAAGATGTAGTTGTAGTTCATTGCATCTTTTCTGCAAAGATATTTAACAAGTGATTGGTTTAACATTTACATCATGTTGACAACTTCATTTGTGGTGCACTTGGAATAGGATTTTCTTTAACTAGAGGGTTAATAAAGAAACAGTTACTTGAATCATGTTGTGGTTACATTTTCAAGTTGACTAGTTAAAAATCATTAAAAAAAATTGAGAATCAGTTAAACGTTCTGAAAAAAATTGAGTTTTAAATTTTTTTGTCATATCGACCATCCCTAGTTTAAGTGCAAAAAGACATGAAAGAGAACTTTTAGTACTCGCATGCCGTGTGACAGCCGCTTTCTGTGTGCGTGCTTCAGACGTGTGCGCTCATAAAACCGTATAGCCTATAAGAAGTTTAAAATGATATGGCTTTAAAATGCATGTAACTTTTGTAACTATAACGGAAAATGTACATTATCTGCTTTTCCACAGAATTTTCTATGAGTGTTTACTCCTCTTCTTAACATCCTTTCATTATCAGCAGGCACAACTACTGAAAAAAATTGTAACAAAAATCAGGAATAAACTGTATTATGATATCCTAAAATTAGGTCTGTTGCAATAATCAATATATCGACTTATCGCGCAATATATGTACAAATGACAATAATATCGCTTATCGCAGTTATTTCTGGGGCAATATATCGCACAACAAAAAGTTGTTATCATGACAGGCCTACCTATAATTACTAGTTTCACATTAAAGTAAACACCAGATCACACCCTTAACCTTAGAGACTGCCATTTATTCACCCTTACAGTCCTTTTGAGTGCCAACGCAGCCACTCAAGTAGTTAGCTCTGGGATTTCAAAAATATGAAACACATGAGAGAAACAGAGAGAGGTAAATGAACAAGGGAAAACAAACAAACCTGCCTCAGCAGCCGTTTATGAGCACTGTTTATTCATATTAAACATTTAAGCTAAACATTTTCAAACTTACGGTCTACACTACAGTCTTTATGCTCACAGCGTCCCAAACACAAATCATTTTTATATTTATTTATTTATATTTTCATTGTCTGGCTATCTGGGATTTCGGTATGGAGTTAAAGGTTAGAATTATAAATTTTTTTGGTAGTATTATATCACATTGTGAGTGCATATTAGCACCTTTTGTTGTTTTCTCGTGGTCTCTGATAGAGCGTTTGGACGCGGAAGCGGTGACGCGTGACGTCAGACTTAACAAGTGGATACCTCTTGAACTGCATATAAATTAGTGAAATTCACCCAGAAAAACAACCAACCATCCATCGTCCAATTCAGAGCAGAACTTCAAACAATAGGATGACAAACAAAACCAAACAAACACAAAACACATGCTATAACTGACTTTTTCACAATTAGTTGTGGTATCCATAATCTCGATTAGGGGTGCTCTGATCAGGATTTTTGAGGCCGATCGCCGATCACAGAAAGCATTATCTGCCGATACCGATCACTAATACCGATCATTTTAAAGCCTTCTTTTTATTATTTATAACTATTTATAGTGATACTCCAATCAGGATTTTTAGACATTTATTCAGGCCTGAATTTCATTTTTGAAAATGGGTGGAATTCCCCTCTTAGGTGACTCTTGTGAGAGGAGAAGCAGCTTTCACACAGGAGTCCGCTACTGATCCGTGGCTGTTTATCACAAACACAACATTTATCCATTATTTTGATTTCAAATCCAAACATTGTCACTGAAAATGCTTTTTCAGCATTGCAATTCTTTTTTTACACAGTACAGTAATACAATCTTTCACAGACATGTTTAAACTCAATAAATATAAGCAACACATTATTCAATGGTTTTTACTTTTGCATTTACTTCTAGATTTATATATTAAGTTGCTCAAGCAAGTTGCAAAATATTTAAACTACTGTTCTTACGTTATCACAAACTTACCATTGACAGAAATAGTCAGCTCTAGGCATGGGCTGGTATGAGATTTTGATGGTATGATAACCTTAAGCAAAAATAACACGGTTTCGCGGTATCACAGTATTGTTGTTACAGCTCTAAAATGTGTTCATTTTAAATATGGTCTGGGTAAAAAAAAAAAAAAAACCTGAACAATATATTTGAGCAACATACTGAATATTTGGAACAGTAGTATTTGTTTATTTTTTTCTTTGATTTGTTTCTGAAATGTGGGCTGTCCTGCAGCTTTTGATTTGGATGGTTGATTTGCTGCTAGAGCTACTGCTGCCCTAAAAAAAAGAAAAATAAAGACTGACATATTTATTTAACCTAAATCTGAAATTACAGTTATTTAATTTTAGTTATATAATTCATATACAGTACATATCATTTATATCATTTCATATCATTTAGTTATATAATTTCATATACATAATTTGATTGAATAATAACCCAATTTGAAGCAAAAACAGAATGTTCTGACTAGCTTTGTGAAATTATACTACATGCCTGAACGAAACAAACAGCGAAGCTCTGAATGAGACGCAGATTCACTCTCTAACAGCAGGAGGTGCTGATACAGCGTTTCCTTGGTTACCGCTGTAAACAAAGCAGAGCTGCGCTGAAAACACTGCTTTAATGTGAATTATACAGAGACGAGATGAAAAGAAAATACCATCTAAACGTTTCTGAAGACCGTCAGTTCCCCTCTGAAACACATTCATAAAAAACCCCAAATCAATATTTAGAATTTTCTTCCAATGAAAATCCATGCCTAGTCAGCTCTACTGCCTTTCCTTTTGCATTGGAATCTTTATTACAAGCAATCCTGCAGTTCATAAAGAACTTTGTTTTCCTACCTCCACGAGTGCCATCTATTATTG